AAAAAAATATGGGTGGTTGGCGGGTGCTCTGGTGTTGTTTGCTTCTTCTTTCCTATCAAACATCTATCGTCCTTTTTCTCCCCTTCTTGTTTTAACGTTTGTTACTCTCTTGTAACACCTCTAATCTTCTTGCGCTCATAGTTATGACCGTATGCAGTTGCGAGCGCGTGTAAAACCTCTTCTAAAACTAAACCAAAACCCCCGCCATCATCAGGTGCTGGAGAAGCTACGTCACTTCCACCCCAACATGACGTGTTACCGGCGTGAGGAGCTCCCCGCCAGGTGGCAGTACGCGGCGGGAAGATACGTGGCCCCAGTCACCTGTGTGGCCGACCTGGGCTGGTTTATCCTGCACGTGAGTCAAGCACAAGGATTAGCAATCAAAAGTACATGTACCTCCTTTGTCCAGTATAATGCTGGCAGGCACTGTCAGTCCTGTGGGGAAGGCGAGAAAGAAAGAAAGAAACATAGAAACAGAAAAAAAGAACAAAAAGAAAGAAAGAAAGAAAGAAAGAAAGAAAGAAAGAAAGAAAGAAAGAAAGAAAAAGGACGGAAGGAGAAAAACGACAAATGGATAGATGGATAGATAAAAAGGAAGGAAGGAAGGAAGGATGGCAGGTGAGAAAGATATAGTAGAGTAAGATATTGGTTTTGACAAAAAGAAAGAAAAAGAGATAAATTGAGTAAAGAAAAAAAAATATGGGTCTCTATTTATTGCCCTCCGTAATAATTGTTAGTTTTTCCCAACACCATCATTAGATAACACACACCATGCAGAATCATGTTATTCTTACTAATCAACCTGAAAAATGCTTCAACTTCAATCAAGACTGAATGAAACATTAAGCTAGATCTAGTTTGTGAGGTGAATGAACGAAAAGCGGCGAAGAGAACGTTTGGGGAACTGAAAGCGTCGTACGGTTATGTTGGGATTCTTTGTGTGGCCAGAGAGTATTTAATTATATAATATATGCTTTAGTTTTAGTAGAGGTTTTACGGCGCTCGCAACTGCATAAGGTCATATGAGCGCCAGGTATAATTTGTGGTCTCTGGCGTGGCATCAAAGATTCTCCACTTTACACGGTCTTTGGTGGCATGGCAGTTCCAGCGGTCACAGTATTATAGTATAGACACTAAATTTTAGTTCGATTCCCCTCTGCACTGGGGTGAGAAATTAAATCATTATGACAATCGTATTGAAATGTATGTCACTTGCTAAAAGTTATTAACAGCTAACAGGGACTTACACTGTGCCTGATCGTGAAGAATGTCTAACAAAAGGCTTCCGGGCTGAACTTCCTGGTGGGAGAGTTGATCTCTTCTTCTTCATTTAGAATGTTTAAATGAAAGGCTAACCAAGGGTGTAATTCAGGGATGGTTTCAGTTGTTATTCATTCGTGCATTCATTCATTCATTCATTCATTCATTCATTCATTCATTCATTCATTCATTCAT